GAAGCTAAGATGCAGGCAATATTTTTTGCTGCTAGTGGTGCATAATAATTATCAGAAACAGAACTCCAGCAACAGTGTTGCCGAGTCCATTTTGTTAGCTGAAGTATAAGTGTGCTTTGTTACTTCTTAAAATATATATGCTTGTATATGTATACAAAAATAGTCTCTCTTAATTATTGCAGAAATAGATAAGTTGCTGTTACTATCAATACTTCATGGATATTGTGGTAACAGCTGATTTTAGAGCACTGATGGTGGCAAAACAGTTCCACATTGAACCAAAATTACACGTATTCTCAGGATACCAGTGTGGAATTGCACTGAACTCGTAGAGTTCTTAGTCCTCTAGTTCCCAGAGAGGACCAGGGTAGGTAATGGAAAGAACTTTATAAAGCAAGGGATTTCTGAGAAGAAAGTCACTCTGTAGCTGACTGCTAAAGTACTCGAGTCTGGCATCTCTTGCGCATTACAAGTGGGTAGTTGGCATATCGCTTACAGTAGGAGACATGCAATATTGTTTGTGCCCTCTTATGATACGTGATGCCACAAAGACATCTACTGATGAGGAAGTTTGCTGCTTGGACATGAGTTGTGATAAGCATTTGCAACCTGAGGGGAATGGATGATAAAACCATACGCTTATGCGCCAAAGTTACAATAAGAAAGAGACAGTCTATCAGTCATGTGAATTGTGATTGGCCTGTTGCGATGGAATAGCTTTTAACAACAAAAAATGAAAGCTATTTACCTTCTGAATGGATTTTACATAGTTGCACAAAAGGGAAAAGAAATAAGAAAAGAAGAGAGAAGAGAAGAGAAGAGAAGAGAAGAGAAGAGAAGAGAAGAGAAGAGAAGAGAAGAGAAGAAAAAGGTTCACACCACCTCTCCCCCTCCAAAATTAGCATTGGCATTGGTGAAGTCACACACAAAGGAAAGTCTCACTTTCTTTGTGCCTCTCACAATGACATCAACATGCATGGCTATGAGATGACGAGAGAGTACCTCACTCACAATGAGTAACAAATTAGAATTTTCTTCAAAGTAAAAAAATGATAACACAAGACCATCATAGGTATATGCTAGCTCTTTCAAAACATCTCTTTTTTGACTAGATGTCAGTTAAAATCACTTGACTGGCAATCTGTTCTATCTAATACAACAGAGGGGAATATTCTGAATAGGCTGAAGAATGTCTACTATGCAACTTGGCTGGAACATCTGCCAAAAATGAAGTTGGCTTTGTTTTCAACATGGTTATCTACTTTGAAATTACTCCATAGAATAAATAGTGATATTCCATGGGTAGAGGTAGATTATGGGGTTTAAATAATTAAATTGGAGCCCCGTAACTTTATGTGCTATAGGAGGATTCTCATAAAACTGAGATATTCCCATAATTAACCACTAGCCATGGGATATTATAATATATTCCACGGTGACTAGTATTTTTTCCATTTCCCTCCCCCCTCCCAGTATAATTAGTGTGATTAATTTTGCTCTGGTTTCACCTATTGCTAACATGAATTAGTATAATTAAAAATAAGAATACCATATTATGAGGCAATCACTGTTTAGGCCAAACTGGCCAGTAATGACCAGTCAGACCTTTTCCAGTTGGCCTTTGCTGCCAGAAGGTTGAAAGAGCTGTATCTCACCAACCTATACTTGCAAAAGGAGCATGTTTTAGAAAATGTGGTTCAAAACTCTTCGTAGTTCTAAATGCTAAATTCTAGTGGAATATTATAGAATAGATTGATTTGCATGCCATGGAATAAACATCCTTACATCTAGTCTTGTCTCAGAGTGAGTCATTTTGCATTAGTGTCAAGAATTTGAGCTGTTGTTCTACTTTGCAGTTAATCATCAGAAAGAGACGGGATTGTCTCATGAATATGCATGAAGTTGTCCCTTCAACTTACTAGGCACCTAGTTTCTGTAATGAGATGTACAATATCTGCCATTTAAAACAGCTGAAAGGTCCCAAATGGGAACAAATGAGAAAGCATCTGGCTGTTTCGAATTCCAGCCCTGTTTTGTCAGAAAACTCTGTAATTGCTGAGTACTTGGCTCCTACTCTGCTCTATGAAGCATTCAGCTCTCAGGAGCCTCTGAGATGCATTACACAGTCCAGCAACATAGCTGTAGAACTCTCAAAATTCTTCCACTAGATGTAACAGCTCTTCAAAATATCTTGAGACTTGTATGCCCTTAACCAGGACCAAAGTTTTGGCTCCTAGAGCGTGCTCTCATCCTTAGTTTTGCTGATCAGCCTCCACTGTACCATTTGTCCCTACAACCTAGACTTCACACATATTATTCACTGTGTGATGGTGGGACTAGAATGGATAAATGTGCTACCCATTGCTCTAAGAAAGCAGTCTGGCTGAATCTTAAATCACTACGCGGGATGGAGGTTAACGGTCAGATGGACATTCCTCTAAGAGGTTTCCTACCTGCTCTGTTAATTTCTAAAATTTCTTCTTGGGCCAGTGGGCAAGTGTCGCTCTGAGTACTGTGGTGTGGAGAGTTTACGACAGATTTACAATAATTGGGGGATCCCAGCTGGGGTGGCCTCGGGATATGCTTCTTTTTTTTCTTTGGTAGCTTCTGCTTAGCCATAGCTAAGGAGTAATACATTCCGAAATTGTTCACAATGACAGGGACAGGCATGGCAATGGTCAGCACACCAGCAAGAGCACAGAGGGCCCCCACCAGCATGCCTGACCAAGTCTGAGGATACATGTCTCCGTAGCCCAGGGTCGTCATGGTGACAACAGCCCACCAAAAGCCGATGGGGATATTTTTAAAGTGTGTGTGTTCACTGGCACTAGGGTCATTTGGTTTAGCACCTATTCTCTCGGCATAATAGATCATCGTGGCAAAGATTAAGACGCCCAATGCCAAAAATATGATGAGCAGCAAGAATTCATTTGTGCTGGCGCGGAGGGTGTGTCCCAAGACCCGCAACCCAACAAAGTGGCGGGGGGGCTTGAAAATTCGCAGGATTCGCACGAAACGGACTACGCGGAGGAAGCCTAGGACATCCTTAGCAGCTTTGGAAGACAGGCCACTGAGTCCAACCTCTAGATAGAAAGGCAGTATGGCCACAAAGTCAATGATGTTCAAAGAGTTTTTGATAAATTCCACCTTGTTTGGGCAGAAAGTGACTCTCATCAAGAACTCAAATGTAAACCAGACCACACAGACGCCTTCGATGTAGGTGAGAAAAGCTTCAGTCTCTGCTTCCCTGTAGTGCCGCACCTGGGTGTCATTCCCGATGAATTCAGTTTCTGTCTTGTTCACAATGGGGTTAAATCTCTCATGGGTCTCGAGGCAGAAGGTGGTGATGGAGACCAGAATGAAGAAAAGGGAGGCAAATGCCACATACTGTGGAAAGAAAGATATGAGAGAAATGTTAAACAGTAGGTTAAGTACAGGGGCTTTCATTCTGAAACACCAGGGAGAGACAAGAGCTCTATTAAAACTAAAGATAATACTAAACCTTCTTCCCGTGGGCTAAAGATGCCAAGTCTCACCTGCAAAGACGGCCTAATGTTCAAACTTGGAGGGAGAGCAGTATATAAGTACATGCTAACATCCATTCCTATACAGATAGCACTTTAAGTGAGTGTAAATTTAAGCAAGCATTTAAATCTCAGAGCTTTCTGTGAGACTTAAGGTTAAGGACATATTGAAATTCTACCTTCCTGAACTTGGTCTTCTGTTACTTCCTGGTCTTAAAGATAGAGCACACCTCCTAGGACAATTGTCATGCAAGAGTCTTTTTGCAGCATTGTGTCAGTGGTATGGTGGCTGCATCCTGTTCCCAGCTTAGTGATAGTTGCGGTATTTCAGATCTCAGTAATGTGCTAGTAAATACTAGTGGCAGTCTCAGGTGGGCTCTACAGCGAGGAGTGGAGTCTTGTTTGGCATTGTCAGCCTTTCTTGCCAAATCCCAGGGACAGGTTGAGGAACAGTCACATATCAAACCAAGCTCTCCTAGAGTAAACATCTTCTCTGTTCTTATTTGCCTTCTCCAGATCTTTTGGGGATGGGGGACAGAGAGGGGAAGAAAGAGGTTTCAGGTAAGCCTGTCAGTTGATTCAAAAGGAGACAGATCTATTGGATTTTACCAGACAAGGTTTTCTTGAAAAGATTCTCATTACAATGTAAGACTTGTACCAGAACTAGATTAATCTTTTTTAAGGCTGTTGGATTACAGTTTGGTTAATCAAGTTACAGTGAAGGTGGTAGCAACCCCAAAGTCAATGAGTGTTTATCTTAGGAGTATTTGCCTCTTCCGCTTCAGTTCCTGCTTTTCATAGACTCATAGAAAGGTTTGGGTTGGAAGGGACCTTTAAAGGTCATTAGTCCAACCCCCCTGCAATGACCAGGGACATCTTCAACTAAAGCAGGTTGCTCAGAGCCCCGTCCCACTGACCTTGAATGCTTCCAGGGATGGGGCATCCACCACCTCTCTGGGCAACCTCTTCCAGTGTTTCACCACTCTCATCATAAAAAATTTCTTCCTTATATCTAGTCTGAATCTACTTGCTTTTAGTTTAAAACTACTACCCCTTGTCCTATTGCAACAGGCCCTACTAAAAAGTCTGTCCCCATCTTTCTTATAAGCCCCCTTTAAGTATTGAAAGGTGGCGAAAACGTCTCCCTGGAGCCTTATCTTCTCCAGGCGGAACAATTCCAACTCTCTCAGCTTTTCTCAGGCTTTCGTCAGCCTAAAGGAGATATCTTGGTTGTATTCCAGGATAATTAAGAGGTACAGTCAGGCCAAAATTCACAGCTCTTGTAACCACAGTTCCTCTGCTCAATCCTCCTTTGATCAATAAAGTAGTTTGCATATATCTAAGAAGTCTCTTTGTGTGTTGGAGTGGTACAGTAATGGTAATACCTCTTTCCATTTCACTCCCTACATGTGTTATCTTCCTGTTTGTCTTGTGTGTCACCTTGACAAGAGACATCACATAAGATGATATTTCACTGTCTTCATGAGCATGAGCAACTGTGGTAATTAAAATAATATTCAAATTTTCTTATAGTGTCCTGTTATTCATAATGTCCCTTTTTCAGCAGTGTAGCCAAAATAGGGGTTAAGAAGAACTAGTTTCTTCTAATTGTCTGTTGCCAGTAAATGCAGTGCAATAATCTAAAAGAAATTGCTGCCAAAGGAATAGACCAGTTAAAAATAACCTATGCTTCAAGCTACCAAAGCTCTCTTGCAATCAAGAAGTTCCTCCTGTCTGCTTTCCTGGGTTGACCTGAGTGCAGAATGATGCTTGACCTTCCGTATTAGCAAACAAAGTCAAAAGCAAGGATTTGCCACAGTTTGAGGTGAACCATTTAATAGAATACAGAACAACTGGCAGAGAATAAAATCACAGAATTGTTTAGGTCGGAAGGGCCCTCTGGAGGTCGTTTGGTACAACTTCAAAGTTGGAGCAGGTTGCTCAGGTCTTGTCCAGTCCAGGTCTGAGTATCTTCAAGGCTGGAGATCCTACAGCTTCTCTGGGCAGCCTGTGCCAGTGTTTGGCCAATAAAAGCAAATAAGCTTGGAAGGATACAGAAGCAAAAAGGCTCTTCTGCTTTTCAAATCCAACTTTGTTGCCAAGGAGATCAGAACCTAGCCATTGTCACAGATTTAAAAAAACTCAGTACCGTCCCCTAAATGCTTCAGGCTATCATAGCATTGTTATGTGATGATCTAATATACGTGCTGATATGTGCTAAAATCAGTGTCTAATATAAATAGTTGTCTGGAAGATAAACAATCTGGAGGTTAGGGAAATTGAGAAGCAGGACTGCGGGTATCTTTTTATCAGATTCTCCTGTTAAACAGGGAAATTTCTCCATGCAGTTTCTCCATCTGTAAAATAGCTTAAAAAAAAACCAAACAGCTGATGTTTGTCATGTGCTTTGTGATCCTAGATAAATGCGTACAGGTTCTATATGCTTTCATTTTAATGTTACTGACTTTAGTGTATCAACAATTTCCCTGAAAAGTAAGTTGAAGAGTCTTTTAAGTGGTCAAAGTCAGTTTGAGTATGATATTGTTAACACTCAGAGCTTAATTAGGTAGAGGTTAATACCCCAATTGTCTGAGTATGAGTAAAATGAGAAACAAAAAGCATCTTGCACTAAGAACTCAGGAAAATGTTCCTAGCAGCCTCAGCATGTCTGCTCTATTCCAGCCAGGAGCAGATTTTTACCATAGAGTCATAGAGCCCTGAGAATTCAAGCTGCAGAAGGAAATGCTGATACTTCGTTAAGTCAGGTAACACTCACAGATAAGAAGCAGAGAGGGAAATAAAACCATTTTGCATTTTAAGGGGTCTGTGAAGAAGGCCCCTTTCTTTATGAATATCTCTCCTGAGTGACTTTTTCCTGCTTAGGACAACCTTCAGGCTGACCTTGCACAGCAAGTATCTTGAAAAGTGATGTTTTGTTGTATTAAAGGTAAGAAATAACCAATTCTGACAGGACATTTAAATTCTCTGCAGTGGTACATGCTAGCAGCATTATCAGTAGAGAACATCACACTCATGATCTCTCTTGCTGTTAGCCCTTGTGTGTGCACACCTTGGCTTCAGAGGGGAATTGAGAACTTTCAGTTCCCAGTTCAGCAGAGCAGGAAGCACGTGCTAAATGAACGTGAAGCGTTTGCTTCCTTCTATCTGTATTTAACAACTTCCGGAGCCCTTCTGCAGGGATGGGCACGTTCTTGAATGCTTTGCAGCTTTGGAAGTGTGGGTCTGCTTTCGAGATTTCATAAAACCATGTCTGAGCAATGGTATTGACAGGGAGAATCCCAGTATTTTTTCTCTAATTTAATTTTTTTTCCTCTGTTGAATTACTATCTAATCCTAAAACCTTTTTTATATTTGGGAAGTAAAAATGCTCCTTAGTCATTCCATGCTTCAATATTGAAAGGCCCTTGTTTTTTGTCTTAGAAGAAAGTCTGCACAGACTGAAAGGAGAAGGCAATGGAGAGCAGCCTTTTAATAAAGGTCCCATTACAGTTCCCCAGTCCCTTGGCTGATCCAAAGAGGTGCAGAAATGCCTGAGAATCAGGCCTGAGAATTCATTCACTGGCACCCATCTCTGATAGATTTATCACCTGCAGCTGCTTGGGACGCAGAAATTTAGCAGCTTGCTGCAAATGAATGCGTAATGTATCATTGGCATAGATTTATGTTTGTGATCCCAAATTTATATTGCCCCTGCCCCTTTTGTCTTCTGAATATTTGTCTTTGTTAATTATCTGATATAAGATCTAGCAAGCTGTAAGCGATATCCAATATCACCAAATTCAGTGAGTATGTTTTTCTAAGGAGACCAGCATTCATTCATGCCAAAGGGGTCGAAAAGAGAGCTCTCTCTGGCCCACCATCAGAGGCCAACAGAGATCAGCCATCATGCCCAACAGATAGCTTGTCAGGTCCAGAGGTGAGCAATCCTGATAAAATCTAGTGAAGACTATGGGACTCGTACGGGTTCTAATGTCTTTGAAAATAAGGCGCTCTCTTTTTATTTCACTAATAATGGCCTGAACACTAATGAATTGCTCTTGTATTATTTAGTGGTTCTTAATCTTCTTTCTCCTTACATTTTACAACAGAATTTCTCTTCTTCCTAGGATCTGAATGGGCTGGGGGAAAGGAGTGAGGATTTTATGAAGTGATGTCACGTGCTGCTGAGTTACATAATGGCAGCTAAAATTTTCTATAATTAAAGAAAATACCTAGGTAAAGTGTTTGAAGTGATCAAAACTCTTTTATCTCCTTTGACACATGTGAATGATTCCTATTTCACTAGAGATGCTGCTGCCATTGCTTTCTTCTGGCTCTAATACCAACAAAGAAAAATCTCAGATTGTCCAAAACCACAGAAGCCGTAAGAGAAGGCAGAGAGGAGGTTTTAAAAGGGGATATTTTGATTAAAATGTAAGTTACATTAAAATGTCTTCATTCTGGAGAGAGAAGAGATTACACTCCTGCATAATTTCTGTTAATAGCAGATATATTTTAATAAGGTTATTTTGAAAGATTCTAAAAGACGTCGTGCCCATAAGTGGAGAATTTCATCATCTGATTTGTATTGCCTCTGATTAAATCAATCTATCTATCTCAAAATCTATCTCAAAGGCATGCTTCTCCACTGCCCTATGTCTATATTGCCAGTGCAGTGTGAATATGAAGTGCCAATTAATTCAGAATAGTAGTGTTTCACATCAGCTTTGCATAGCTGTAGAAGGAGCAAGGTAACAGAATCAGACCTACCCTCTCATGAATAATGAGCCAGTATCTTTCCACTCAGCATGGAAAGAAAACAAAAGTCCAATAGCCTTAAAAACACAAATAAACCTAATACAT